ATTCTAAAACAAAACAAAGCAAAACAAAAAGCCATGAACAGGCCCAGCCTCAGTGTGCAGCAGTAGCCAAGGCCCTGCAGTGGGGAGGCCCTGTGGAGACCAGGGTTTGCTTTCAGGGCCGAGCTGTACACACTGGGCCTGGGCTGACCTGCATCCTGCAAGCACCCAGCTCTCTGGTCAGATGTCCGGGACGGGGGCTAGCCAGTCCCAGACGTGCCCTCCCCTTTGTTCTGGGCTCTTTTTTTTTTGGAGAGGTTTTTGCTATAGGGCGCGTGCGCTCGCCAGACAGACAGAGAGAGACAGAGAGATAGAAAGCAGGAAATCACCCCCCAGGGGGGATGGCCACGCCGCAATCCCTTCTCCTCCATTCTCCTCTCGGGATCTTGGGCACGCACACACACGCGCCCGGAGTGAGTTTAAGCCACCGGGTCCGGGACTCGAACCGCGGTCGACTACGTGGGAGTCCAGCGACATAGCCATTACACTAACTGCTGGTCCCTGTTCTGGGCTCTTGACACCAACACCTTAACTACCTGAGCCCCTTACAACGTAGTCCGAGATATGCCCTGTTCCCACGTGGTCTTTTATGGATAGTTCCTTGAACACTACGAGCTTCTTCCCATCTCACGGTCTTTCCACACATGTTGTGCTCTTCCCCTCAAAGGCTCTTCCTTTAACCAATGCCTACTCAAAGCTTTGTGTTTGGTTGGTTGTTTTTTAGTACTTATTTATTTATTTCTGTATCTATTTATTTCTTGTGATTTTTAAGCTTCTAGGTTTTGGACTTGAACCACGGTTGGCCATGTGGGAATCCAGAGTCTTAACCTCCATTCCACCTGCTGGCCCAGGCCTCAGTTTTTAAATGTTGCCTTCTCAGGGAAGCCTGGGACTAAGTCAGATCTGTATTATAGTCTCTCTGTAATTAAAAAATAATCCCAACTTTTTTTAAAATTGTGATAAAATATATGTAACATACAGTTTGCTGTTTTAGCCATTTTTCACTCAAGACATGGTCTTCCTTTGTCAACATCGTCTGCCTCAGTTCCGAAGTATCTGGGACCACAGGTGCATTCCACCACACCCAGCCTTTAGGGCTGGCTGGCTCCCGAGGGCCTCAGCCTGCCCAGAAGCAGCGTCCACCAGCACGTGCTACCGCGGCTGGGCCTGCCATTTTTGCCATTTTATGTGTATAATTCCGTGGCATTGATTACATTCCTTCTATTGTGTTTTTCCTGCATGGCGCCTATTATAATTACAGTTTAACAAGTAACTGTGTAATTATTTGCTAACATCCACCTTCCTACAAACATGTAAACTCCTTAGGGCAGGGACTTGTTTTGTTTTCTGTGATATTCTCCAGTGCTTAGCACAGTGCCGGGATGTTTAACAATAAATCGTTTTGAATAAATGAATGTAATCCTTTTTTTAATTTTTAAAAAAAATTGCCAGAGGGCTCATGTGCTTGCAGGGTGCCGGGGGAGAGGCAGGGAATGGAGAAGCGCCCCTCCCCCTCATGGGGCGTGCTCACACTACAAGCCCTTCTCTTCCATTCCCCCTCCGTTTAGGGTTTTGGGGCATGCACGCACACCCACCTGGAGTGTTTTTTAAGCCACAAGGTCCAGGATTTGAATTGGCTATGTGGGGTCCAGCCACCTTAACCACCATGCCAGTAGCTGACCTTGACTGTATTCTTATAAAAATAGAGAAGAACAATAAAGATACTGAAACACGAAGAAAAAACCACGAAGACAGTAGTCCTGTCCCTCGATCTGGGGAAGTGGGCGATGGGAGCGGGGAAGAATTTCAGAGCTAGCTGGCCCAGAGGAGGCTGAGCTCTTAAGGTGGCTGTGTGCACACGGTTACGTGTGTCCTGACGGCTCCTCCCGGGCGAGCACACCCAGGGACGGGCGCTCACTCCCTGTCGTCCTTGAAAAGCACTGGCGGTGAGAAGGCCCTTGCTCAGGGAGCTTGCACAGCTGCTGATGCCTGGGCCTTAGGGGTCCCTCTCTGTGGCCAATCTCTGGGGAGAAAGGAGCCCCCAAATGCTGGGAGAGGCAGCTGGGAGGCCAGGGTGAATGTGTCATTTCAGAGCCTACCATTCCTCCCTAGGCCAGAGAGGTCTCTGGGGCTCCCATCCCTGAGCCTCCTGCCTCCAGTCTACCCAAGTTCAGCCTGACTCGCCTCCCGAAAGCGAGGTCTCCCCAGGAATCTGATGCTTCCAGGCCTCCCAGGACCACCTCTGCCTAACTCACAATTGGCTGCCCCTGGTCTGGCCATATCGGCCCCTCTGGCCCCAGGAGTTGGGCTGGCCCGAACCTGTCGGATCTAATGGCCACCTGCAAGCACAGCTTTGGTCAGCATGGTGTCCCTGCCTGACCCGGACACCCTCAGCCTTTCAAACCCAGAACCAACAGTCCCTTTTGCAGGTCCCTTCAAAGCCCTTCCTCCATTAGGGGTTTGATCGGGCTGGGGGAGCCAGTGCTTCTACTGGACAGGGCCAGGCCCGGGCAGCTCAGTGGGGGCCACGATGGCTGGTTGTCTACAGCTGCAGCCTTGTGGGGCACAGGACACGAGCGACCAGAGCACCAGGCGGGCCCTGGCCTTCTCCTGGCCCTGCCTGGCTGCTTCTTCACACCCTGCCGGTGCCGCTTGGCCCCTACACAGGGGGTCGGGGGAGGAGCAGGTAAGACCATCTCAGGCTGTTGGAGCAGCACGGGCCACCCTTCCTGAGGAGCTGCCACAGTGGCCACAGGTCAGCACGGGTGCAGACACACAGGTCTGAGATACAGCCTGCCCGGCTGCAGAAGCAGGGGATGTACCACAGCGGCGGGACAATGGGCTCTGGAGGAACGATTCGCAAGGATTCACCACTCTGCCCTCACAGCTACCCACAGGGCTGTCAGCAGGTTTATGTTTCCCTCTGGATGGATGGGGAAACAGAGGCCCGGAGAGAGTGTCTTACCCAGGGTCACAGAGCAGGTCAGGGGCAGAGCTCAGCCCTCCCACCTGCTGCTAGCAGAGGGTGTGTGTGAGCGTTTCTAGGCAGTGGCGGGTAACCCTTGAGCTTCTGAAAGCACTTCATACGCTCAGGCTGACATAGCCACCCCACTCTCCTGCACTGCCGAGAGCCAGGTGCTGACTGCAGGGCGCATGCGGGCCAGAGAGCGAGCGAGAGAGGGAAGTGGAAAAGCAGCCTCAAGGGGGGTGGCCACACCACAATGCCTTCTCTCCTCTCTCAGGATTCTGGGCATTCGTACATGTGCCCAGCAAGTTCCTCAAGCTGCCAGGTCTGGAACTTGAACTGCCGAGTAGGCCCAATCGCAGATGCAGCGCCTTAACCGTCACACCACTGGCTGCCCAGGTGTTTATCTGTGCAGGCACCGAAGACCAGACTGAGGTCGGGAGGCTGAACACCCCAGACACACAGTGAGAAGGCAGTGGCTGGTGCTCCACCTCGGGGTTCAGTCCTTCCCTTCCCACGAAGCCCCCTTACTCACCTCCCACAGCAGTCCTTTCCACAGACAGGCCCAGGCCTGTTAGCCCAGTCCCCAGCCTCCGCCAGGGTGGCCAGGCCCTTGCTAGGTACACAGGACTCTCTGCCACTCCTAGTCACCGTGTGTCTGAGATTCGGACGTCAAAACCCCTGGGCTCCCCACACCCTGGGCCACTCACTCAAGGGAGGCAGGGAACCTTGAGCACTGGCAGACCTTGGCTTTTATCTCAAGGGCTAGGCTCCGGAGGCATCCCAGATCATCTCGTGGGGTGGACAGGCCTGGCTCTGCGGGGCCATCGAGGAGGGGCAGTGGCAGAACAGTAAGTGCCCAGGGCAGATCCAGAAGCCACCCTGGGTGAGGAAGTCGGGCCAGCCTTCCTTGAGGGGCCTGTGACCCTCCATGCACCTAGACCATGTCCAGGGAGGGGCTGGACCATGCTCTTGGCTTCTGGAGGCCTGGAAGGTAAGGAGCCCCTGCTTCCAGGAGGTCAGGAGCCCACTGTGGCTTAGTGGGGTTCTCTAGGAGGATGGGGGAGCCCACTGTGGCTTAGTGGGGTTCTCCAGAGAAGCAGGGCAGCCCTGGGGGGGGGGCTCTGTGACTCTGCGGCTCGTTAACATTTACGCCCTTTCTCCTCCACCCTCCTCCTTCACCCCCACCCCCACCACAGGACAGCAGCCATGTTCTCTGTAGCGCAAACGCCGGCCATTTCTTCCCATTACCGCAGAGGGCTCAGGCCCCAGCACCTCGCCTGTCTCCTCCCTTCTACGCCCCAGCCCCCTGGACTCCCGTCCTTCAGTTCCACTGCCACGGGGTCCCCTCCAATCGCTCCCCTCTGACTGCCAAGGCCTTCCTGAGCTCCAAGGCCCGTCTCAAGTCTCAAGTGCCCCCAGCGAGAGGCCTCTGCTTCCTGCCCGTGGGCTCGCCCCTCCAGGCACGGCGATGAGAGCGAGGGCATGGGAGGACGCCTGACAAATTGAATGCACTTCCTCTGAATCTCAGACGTGTAGGATAGACACAGTGAGATTTAGGGACACTCTGGCCACCACCGTCCTGATTAGACAAGGAAACTGCAGCCCAGAGAGGCCCAGGGACTTGCCAAGGTCACACAGCAAGCTGGAGCCGGCACCTAGGGCTCCTTGCGGACTTGTCATCATCGACCCCAGTGTGCCAAAGGCTCCTCTGAGGAGACGGGAGAACATTCTTAGTGACTGAAAACGTCCTCTAGCCAGCGGCAGCCCAGCTGGTGCCCTGGGCGACTCGTTCCTCAGCTGAGGCTCTTGGCCACGCAGGGCGGCAGACACCACGCACCGCGGCAGACACACCACGCACCCCAAACGAGCGTCCAACCGCTGCCTGTTCCACCTTCCAGTTCACCCAGACCCTTCCCTTCATTTTCCAGGCTTGGAAATGGGCTCAGAGAGGGCCACGGCTTGCCTAGCTCACACAGCAGAAGACTCTCCACCATGGCCCGCAGGCTGTGTGTGCAGAGGCCCACCATCCGCTTACCTGGTGCCTGAGTTTTCTTGGGGGGTCCCCACCATCGCATCCTGCTGGCTCTCCTGCGGGACCTCCCTGCTGTCCGGCATGCTGGGGTCCCCGGGGGCGCAGCTACAACCGGCTCCAGAACTGCGTTGCGTCCGTAGCGGGCATCGGTCGGTGTTGGC